CTGCTGTGCTGCAGGAGGAGAGGGAACCTCAGCGGGTGCCGTGCTGAGCTGAGCTGTGCCACACAACCCCGCGCAGCCGGAGCCTTGTGCCCTCTCATGGGCAGAGCCCACACTGCAGCACAGCCCAGCACAGGCTCACTGCTGCCATCCCCGGTCCATCCCCCGCAGGAGCGGCCCTACCGTGTTGGTGCCGATGAGATCTGCTGTCATGGACAGGGAGGTGACCAGGATGGTGGCAGAGCCAGCCCCCAGCAGCACGGCCGCTCCGTAGACCTCAGCTCCCGTCGGCGTGGCCAGGGCCACCCAGGAGGCGAAGGCCAGGACCACCAGGATGCCCACGAAGTAGGTCAGCTGGGACAGGGAGGGGCAGAAGGACAAGGGGGAGTTCAGACACCAGCTTGGCACCAGGGGCAAGCAGAGAGGGCACAGGGGCCAGCAGTACCCAGGACCCACGAGGGACAGCCCTGGCTCTGTCCCAGCTGGATTTAAACAAGGAGCCCCCAAGAGCACCACCTTGCCATGGTCTGGGCTGTTCTGCAGCCAGAGAGCCACAGCCCTGGGGAGAGCTGTGGGCAGGGTGTCCATGAGTTCAGGGGACACTCCACTGGCAACCAGCAGCGTGGAGGGGACACACTGGGGGGGCAGCTCCCTCCTGCTGCCCCTGTGCCCAGCCAGGGTGGTGCAGCCAGACCGCCCTCTGCCCACCTCAGGCACCTCAGGGCTCTCCAGCCTGGTCAGGGCTGCACAGCACAGGGTGGCTGTGGACCAGCACCGCCTTCCCCAGCCCCAGGATGTGCAGGACAGGCCCTCATCCCCACACCTGCCCACCACCCCCAGTCCCAGCAGGACCCACAGTGCAGTGGGGGGTTGCTGGCAGAGGGTACATGAGGGGTCCCTGCTCTCCAGCTCAGAGGTGCTGGATGCTCTGCCCACAGCCAGGATCTGGCCCCTGCTGGGGTCTAACTCCAACCTCTCCAGTGCCCCCAGACTCACATTCCGACCGATCCACTTGTTCACAGGCTTCATGAGGAAGGAGGAGAGGAACCCACTGACATACATGACCAGGGGGATGGTGGCGATGTATTTCTGCAAGGGACAGGGAGGAGATGATCTCTGGGCACCAGGACCCTGCCCAGGTGCCCTCGGACCTGCCCTGTGCCCACCTTGGAGAGCATCAGTGAGTTGGTCAAGTACATGGCGATGTAGGTCTGGGACAGGTTGACAATGAGGCGGGTGGACATGTAGAGCACTGCCACCTGTGAGGGGACAGGGACAGGACAGCCCCACTCAGCCCGTGGGGAGGCACCTTCCCTGCCCACCTGTCACAGAACTGTGCCCACCCAGAAGGGCACAGCCCCTCTGACAGGTCGGGTGCCCAGTACAGCCCCACCCTCCACATCCCCAGTGCCCAGGCAGGCAGCCCCCTGGGCCAGGTGAGCGCTGCCCAGCTGTACCTGGTAGAAGGAGGGCTCCAGCAGCCAGTCCTTCCAGAGCAGCAGCGGGCGTGGGGGGCTCGGGGGCTCCTTGTGCAGCAGGGGGGTGGTCTCCTCCAGGTCAGGCAGCACACCCAGTGGGTACGGCTTCTCCTTGGTGCCCAGGTGGAAGATGAGGGAGGACACAGCCCCAAGCCCCACCACAATGAGGGCCAGGTTCTGGTGAAGCAGAAGGGGTGAGCACAGCAGGGGAGGTGGCCCATCATCAGCCCCCCAGCAGTCTGGAGAGTAAGGAGGGGTTCCCAAAAGCCCAGGGAGGGCTCGGTGTGGCCCTTGCCCAGCGCAGTCAGGGAGGTGAGGGCACTGCCCTCTCGCCCCCGGCAGCACCTCCCCAGCTGAGCAGTGGGAAGAGGGAACCCCAGGGACTGTTCCCTGCCACTCACCCGAAACACAGGGACATCCTGGGGGCCCAGGTGCTCCATGTGGTCGGGCTGGTCTGTCTGGAAGTTGAGCAGGAGCCAGGTCAGGCCGTACACAGTGATGTTGGCCATGACGGTGAAGGCATACCTGAGAGGGAAGGGAAGGGAACCTCAGGGGATGTGGAGGGACAAGGATGGGGACAGAACAGTGGGACATCTCAGCCCATTGCTGTGCTACAGCCTCTGCACCCCAGTGTCATGGCTGAGGGGACACCTCCAAGGGCATGAAGCACCTGCCCAGGCATCAGCCTTACTGGTGCCACTCCCAGCATGCCCAGTCCAACCCTCAGGGCACGACTGGGAGGAAACCAAGATCCCTCTGGGTCAGACTGTCACCTTCCAGGTACAGCTCACCTCTGCCTCGAGGATCTCATGAGCTGCCTGACCTGGTGCCCCCAGAGCTGGACCCTGGGGTTATCCCAGTGCTGCCCCACATCCTTCCTGCTCACCCTGTGGGACAAACAGCCCATCCCACATCCCGATCCCACCTGAGGAGTGGTTCCATGCAGGGAGCCGGATGCATTGCCCACCTAGCCCTGGGGACATCCCATCTCTGGGTCAGCCCCCACAGCCATGCCCAGCTGTCCCCAAGGGCACCCAGGGGGGCACAGTCCCTGCCCTGTGAGCACCAGTCCCAAAGGAGAAGTGTCCCATGGGCTGTGTCACCAACATCCTTGGCATCAAGACAGTCCCTCCTGGAACCAAAGGGTTTGAGCCACCAACCAAGGACACCAGTGTCCCTTGGCACATAGAATCATAGAATCATAGAATAGATTGGGTTGGAAAAGACCTCCAAGATCATCAAGTCCAACCCCTGATCCAACTCCAATTACTATATCATGGCACTAAGGGCCACATCCAATCTCTTTTTAAAAACCTCCAGGGGGGATGGTGAATCCACCACCTCTCTGGGTAGGCCGTTCCAATGCCTGATAACCCTCTCTGTAAAGAATTTCTTCCTAACATCTGACCTAAACCTCCCCTGGCAGAGCTTGAGCCCATGTCCCCTTGTCCTATTGTTGGTTGCCTGGGAGAAGAGACCAACCCCCACCTGGCTATAACCTCCCTTCAGGGAGTTGAAGAGAGTGATGAGGTCGCCTCTAAGCCTTCTCTTCTCCAGACTAAACAACCCCAGCTCCCTCAGCCTCTCCTCACAGCACTTGTGCTCCAGTCCCTTCACCAGCCTCGTTGCTCTTCTCTGGACCTGCTCCAGGACCTCAATATCCTTCCTGAACTGAGGGGCCCAGAGCTGAACACAATACTCAAGGTGTGGCCTCACCAATGCAGAGTACAGGGGAAGGATCACTTCCCTGCTCCTGCTGGCCACACTGTTCTTGATGCAGGCCAGGATGCCACTGGCCTTCTTGGCCACCTGGGCACACTGCTGGCTCATGTTCAGCCTCCTGTCAATCAGCACCCCCAGGTCCCTCTCCGCCTGGCTGCTCTCCAGCCACTCTGTCCCCAGCCTGTAGCGCTGCAGGGGGTTGTTGTGGCCAAAGTGCAGGACCCGGCACTTGGCCTGGTTGAACTTCATTCCATTGGAGTCAGCCCATCTCTCCAGTCTGTCCAGATCCCTCTGCAGAGCCCTCCTGCCTTCCGGCAGGTCGACACTCCCTCCCAACTTGGTGTCATCTGCAAATTTGCTGATGATGGACTCAATCCCCTCATCTAAATCATCGATAAAGATGTTAAACAGGACTGGGCCCAGCACTGACCCCTGGGGAACACCACTGGTGACCGGCTGCCAGCTGGACGCAGCCCCGTTCACCAGCACTCTCTGGGCCCGGCCCTCCAGCCAGTTCCTGACCCAGCACAGAGTACCCCTGTCCAAACCATGGGCTGCCAGCTTTTCCAGGAGTATGCTATGGGAGACAGTGTCAAAGGCTTTGCTGAAGTCCAGATAGACCACATCCACAGCCTTTCCCTCATCCACCAGGTGGGTCACTTGATCATAAAAGGACATCCCACAGGACCCCCTCGTGGCCCAGCCCTGGTCCTGCCACGCTGAGGACTCTGATGTGCCACAGCACCCAGGGACCTCCTGTCACACAGTAAAGGGATCTGGGGTGGGCAGGGCGGCTCCCCCAGACCCAGGGGACCCCCAGGTGTGTCCGTGCTCACCTGAAAGCCGTGAGCTCCACCTTCTCATGGTCACTGCTCACCAGCTCGGGGATGAGAGCCAGGTGGGACACCTGTGTGGCTGCCCAGCCAAACTGGAAGATGACAATGAAGGGGAGGTAGTAGATGAAGGCTGCCCACTGTGGAGTGCCCTCCCTGCAGGCCAGGCAGGGGCTGAACACGAAGGGAAAGGACACAAGGACGCAGGTGGTGCCTGAGGAGAGAGTGAGAGGCTGCACATCCAAGACATGGCCAGAGTGCCACTGTCCCTCCCCAGGACAGGTTCCACCCCAGAGCTGGGCCCCTTTCCCCAGCCAGGTGACACAGGTGGAGCCCCAGACACCCCCTGAATCCTGCACAAGGAATGTTTTCCCCCTGTCGCACCCAGCACGGACAGTCACTCCCCAGTCGAGGTCCCTCCCCAGCACAGCACCACCTAGCACTGCTCTGTCCTCTCAGAACACCAGGACAGCCCCTCACTCTCACACCCACAGCCACCAAGAGTGTCCCAGGTGCAGATAACCAGCCCAGGGACACCCCTCCCTGCTGCCTGCCCACGGTGATACAGCCCCCGAGGGCCAGGAGGGCTCCGGGTGTCCCACAGGCAGCACGGCTGTCCCCATGTCCCCTCTCCCCTGGGGCTGGCACAGGGAGCCACACTCACAGATGTCACCCACAGTGTGACGGGTGACGCTGAGCCACGGGGGCTCTGAGCCATGGGAAGGCCCTGCTGAGTCAGGGACAGCAGAGCCAGGCTCCTCCTCCTGCTGCAGCGGGACAGCACAGGGACGCTGCGTGGGGACGCTGCCTGTGGGGCCCCGGAGTGGGGACCCTGAGTGGGGCAGGCAGGTGGCCTGGCCTCTCCCTCCTCTTCCCAAAGTTATGGAGCTGATCTGCCAAGTGGCTCCATGGCCCCCCTGACCCCAATACAGAGCCACCCCCATGCCCTGTCCCATGTGTCACCATGCCCTGTCCCATGTGTCCCTAGCCACACTGGGTGCTGCTGAAGGGCCATGGGAACCCGTTCCTACAGCTGAGGGGAACCTGCAGCCACTTTGTCAGGTCCCCAGCGTCCCCTCTCCAAGGGACTTTGCAAGACCCTCCTCTCACTCACGAAGGGCAGTTCCTCCTCCTCACTCCCACACAGCAACGCAGGCCCAGGGCAAAGAGGTTCTCCCTGTGCCAAGGGCAGCAGCGACAATCCCAGCCCAACTCCATCCACTCCAGCAGGGCCCGGGGGGGGAGCTGGGTGCTCACAGCCAGCTTTGGTGCTCCAGGAGCTCCCAAAGGATGGGGGACTCAGGCACACGTGGTGCCTCTGCCCCAGACAAGCCACAGGCACAGGAAGGTCCAAGAAGGTTCAAACCAGCCCAGCCCTCGGATGGGGCTGTTGGTTTTAACTGAGCTCAGCTGGGGGACGGGGGGTTCCAGGACCCTGCAGGGTCAGGCTCTGTAGCCCTCTGAGGGCTGTGTAGGCCATGCCCGTGCTCTCAGAGCAGCACTGGGGCAGGAGCTGTGGGTCCTCAGCTGCTGCAGCTTCCACGGCCATCCCTGTGCCCATCCACGAGCCACTGCCACCAGCACACACACAGAGGACTGTCACCCCCTCCTCTTTGTGGCCCCCTAGGACACGCAGAGCCCACTGCTGGGTCACCCCCGTGGCTACCCCACAGAACCGTGCCCCTCTGGCATGGGGTTGCACCCCAGCACCCCCAGTCTGCCCAGATGTGGCTGCACTGTGAGTCAGAGGGGCCTGGGAGACCCCCTCCTCTCTCAACAGGGGCCATGGGAGCCCCACAAGACCGCCCTGCCCATCCCTGAGAGCAGACAGAGTGCCAGGCTCTCATCTCCAGCCCCGCGGGGCAGGATCACGGGAATGCCAGGCACGGGCACCCGCGGAGGAAGCCGGATCCCACAAAAGAGCCGCGGACCCCACAAAAGAGCCGCCGAGCAGGCGGGGACCGCTGGCGGGGCCAGCCCGCACCGCGGCCGCGGCGGGGAGATGCCTCCGATAGCAACTCGTGGTGTCTCCCCCGCCCCGAGGCTGCGGTTTCACAACGTTTCCTCCGATCTCAGCACGGGTTTGCCACCGGACGAGACACCCCCGCTCGCACACAACATCCCCGCCGCAGCGCGACCGAGGGAGCCGAGGGAGCCGGGCCGCCCCGGTCCCGGCGGCTTTGCCGGCACCGCCGGTCACCCCGTGGGCAGCCGAGGCGGATGGAGCTCTCACCTTGGGAATAACCCACGCTCTGGCCTGGAAAACATCTCCATCCCTGCTCCAGCCTCCATCCCTGCTTTCAGTTTCCATCCCCGCTCTCAGTTTCCATCCCGGCTCTCAGTTTCCATCCCTGCTCCAGCCTGCCCCGGGCTGTGCAGGGTGCTCTGCTCCCAGGATTAGGGTGCTGGGGGCGGCCACAGCCCCCCGGCAAGGCCTGAGTCAGGACTTCCCCTCTGTGCTCGCTGGGCAGCAGCCAACAGGAGGGGGGTGGGGGCACAGCTCCGGAATACTTCCCTTAATCTGGGGCACCGATCTGGCTGACAGGGGTGAAGCTGCTCCCCCAACACCCTCCCTGACTCCTCAGGCGAACTCCAGGGAGCTCCTTCGGCCGCCTTATCAGGCTGCCCGTTGGGTTGCACAAAGCGGTTGGTCAAGATAAATTTGGGATCAAGATAAGAGGACCCACACTGCAACCGTCCTCCCTCTGCACGGGTCTGCTCCGGGCGAGCTGGTGCTGGGTGTTACTGAGAATGGCCATTTCTTCCACTAACTGCCCTGTCCTCAGGCTCCTGCACTGGTCACAGCACCAAAGACCCCTCTCCAGGCCACCCCGTCCCCTAAGAGAGGGACCAAGGACACCTCTCCAGGCCACGCTGTCCCCTCAGAGAGGGACCCCGACACACGGGTCTCCACCAGCCCCTGCACTCTGTTGTATTTTTTGGCCCCAGGGCAGGAGACGAGACAAGACCCTGCCAGTAATTCCTGTGAGACGGTGCCTCCTGTGCATCCCATGGGCTGGACCCCCACTGCCAGCCCCTGGGGTGCCCACCCCAGCACAGCCAAGGGCCCCGTGCCCCAGGGCCATCCCTGGGGACACAGAGAGCTGTCCAGGAAACACCTGGGCTCCTGGGTCAGCCCGGGTTTTACTGTCAGTCCTGTTTTTGCTCTGAGGGCTGAGCACATGACTCTCATCCCAACTCACTACCACCCACATGGGCACGGCCCAAGGGACACTGAGTGGCCCCACAGGGGCCGCAGCCACCCCTGGGGTGGGACATGGACACCACAGTGCCCTTTCCCCATCCAGGCTGAGCCATCTGTGCCTGGGGAATGCCAGAGCATCCCGCTGTCCCCCTACACATGGAGGAGCCCCATGCCACCTCACTGACATGGGCGATTGTGGGGATGCTGTCCCTCCACACCAGAAGGGCACCTTCTGGGCTGCCCCCTCCTCACAGGGCACCCCAGACCCATCTGCTCCCACACAGGGCACTGCTGCTGCACCAGGGCCCCCTCACCCTCCACACAGGGCACCCTGGAAAGACCCCAGGGCAGCCCCCCTTCCATGGGGGGGCTGTTCCCTTCCACCCCAGGGCACCCAATTCTGCTCATCCCTGAGGCTGCCCTTCTCCAGCCAGGGGGGACCCTGCCCTCACCTCACTGACACATGGGCTGTTCCCCCTCCAGGCAGGGGGCTTCCCAGCTGCCCTGGGGCCAACTCCCACCCCAGACAGGCTCCCTCAGGGGCCACTCATCTTCAGGGAGGCTCCCTGGTTCCTCCCCCCCACCAGGGTATCCCCAGCACTGATCCCCCAACCCAGAAAGACACCCTTGATCTTGTTCCCCCACTCCAGGGCAGCACAGAGAGGTACCCTGGGGCTGATCCTGCACCCCAGAAAGGCTCTCTCATCTGCACCCATGGCCCCCCAGCAGAGCCCCCCAGGGCCAACCCTCTCCACTCAGCATCCCCCAGCAAAGGGCCCCAGGTGTCCCCCACCCCGGGCACCCCAGAAAAGTTCCCTCTGGGCCATTCCTCTCCACTTAGAGTATCTCTGAAAGGCTCTCTCGGGTGTCCTCCACCACAGAGCACCCCGGGGCCATCCCTCTTCACTCAGAGCCCCCCAGAAAGACTCCCTCAGGTGACCCCCACTCAGAGCCCCCCCAAAAAAACTCCCTCTGGGCCATTCCTCTCCACTCAGAGGATCCCAGAAAGGCTCCCCTCCCAACAAACGCACCCCAAAACACCCCCCCAGGGCCACCCATCTCCACCCAGGGCACCCCAAAAAGCCTCCCCTGGGGCCATCCCTCTCCACTTAGAGCATCCCTCAGATGTCTCCCAACTGACACCTCAGAAAGGCACCCCTGGAGCCATCTCCAGCCAGGGCACCTTGGATAGCCACCCTCAGTTCACTTGCCCAGGGCACCCCAAAAAAGGCTCCCCTGGGGCCATTCCTTTCCACTCAGAGCATCCCAGAAAGGCTCCCCCGGATGTCCCCCAACACAGACACCCCAGAAAGGCTTCCCAGGTCACCCCCATCCACCCTGGACACCCCAGAAAGGTTCTCCTGGAGGCATTCCTTTCCACTTAGAGCATCCCAGAAAGGCTCCCCTGGATGTCCCTCAATCCAGACACCCTAGAAAGGCTCCCCAGGGCCACCTCTTTCCACCCAGGGCACTTCAGCAGAGTGTTCCCCACTCAAGGTACCCCAGCAGAGCCCCTCAGGGGTCACCTCTCTCCACCCCAGGCACCCCACTCTCCACTTGGAGAATCCCAGAAAGGTTCCTCTGGATGCTCCCCAAGAAAGACACTCCAAAACACTTGCCCAAGGGCCACCCACCTCCACCCAGGGCACTCCAGAAACACTTCCCTGGGGCCATCCCTTTTCCACTGAGAGCATCCTAGAAAGCTTCCACTGGGTCACCTCCACTCAGAGCACCCCAGAAGGGCTCTGCTGGACGTCCCCCAACCCAGACCCCCCAGAAAGGCTCTGCTGGACGTCCCCCAACCCAGACACCCCAGAAGGGCTTCCCGGCTCACCCCCCTCCACCCAGGGCACCCCACAAAGGTTCTCCCGGGGCCACCCCCCATCCACTCTGCTCCCTTCAGTCCCCGCCGTCCTCTGCACCCACCAGGGGCCAGATGTCCCTTCTCCTCCCTGTCCCCCCCCCGGTCCCGCACGCCCCCCGCACCCACCGGCCAGGTGCCAGCCCTTCCTCCTCCCGCAGCGGCCGCAGCCCCGGGCCCGGTCGGCCTCGAAGCCGAGCAGGGGCGTGCAGAGCCCGTCGGCCGCCTGGCCGGCCAGGAGCAGCGCCCCGGCCCCGCCGTGCCCGTAGCCCAGCACGGCGTGCAGGAAGGGCAGCAGGTACGTGAACCACAGCGCCGAGCAGGCGTCGTTCAGGAAGTGCCCGCACGCGAAGCTGAGCCGAGCCCGCAGCGACAGCGCCGGCCCCGCGCCCTGCGGCGGCTCCGCCATGGCCCGGGACGGCCCGGGAAGCACCGCGGGACGGGCCCGCCGGGAGCGGATGGGCGGGAGGGAGCACTGGGAGGGACTGGGAGGGACTGGGAGGGACCGGGGGGGGACGGTGACCCCCTCCCGCCCCGTGCGGAGCCGCCTCCTGGGCGGGGAAGGGGTGGGGGG